TAGGAGTTCTGGAAATTTTATTCAGTCTAGTCACAGTCTTTTTAGCAAGTCCAATATAGTCCATTTTTTTGTTGCTATATTTTGGTCAAACTTTTTCAGCAAATCAGCGAAGTAAGAACTTATCTGCAGTTGACACCTGCACCATCCTTATGATCACTAGTATACTGTACCCGAGTCCACTGTTGAAGCAACTGTGTACTCTGAGTGCCTTCCTACGTAGGGGTCTCATCTTCTAGCACTATGTTGTTGTTGGTAGTTGCTGTCGAGTCGATTCTGACTCATGGTGACCTCGTGTGCAGAGTAGAACTGCTCCACAGGGTTTTCAAAGCTGTGACCTTTCAGAAGCAGATCACCAGGCCTGTCTTCCAAGGCGCCTCTGGGTTGGTTTGAACCGCCCACCTCCAGCACTGTACCGGATAATATTCTGTTGTGATCCATAGGGTTTTCGTTGGCTAATTTTTGGAAGCAGATCACCATGCCTTTTTTCCTAGTCTCTTAGTCTGGAAGCTTCGCTGAAATACGTTCACCTACTGGCATTTGAAATAGGTAGCATATTCCAGCATGGCACAGCTTCCAGCATCATAGCTTACTGCTGCTTAGAAGTATCTTTCCACTAGTAGGTTACTCTGGACTATATACCTTGAATGCTTTAAAGCCCTCAACTCACTCCCTCCTCTCTCAAAGCTTTTAGCTATATGGCTGACCACCATGCCTGCCATATCCCTGTCTGAAATGCTAGGTCCTCCAAAAAGCCTTCCTTAACTAACTGGAAGAGACAAAACAAATTCCCTTTGGCTTTACTCAACACACGCTGCTCTAAGTGTTTATTTTTCTTGCTTTAAATATATTTCTTTCATGAAGCCTATAAGAGTGATAAGGCAAACTAGGTCTAACACAATCTTTGCTAAGTCTGGTAGGGTCAACAATAAAGGCAATTACTGCAAGTGGTCTTCAGCAAGTTGACTGATGAGGCTTCAGGGACAGGAGGGAACAACATGGAAGTCCTGCCATGGGGTATTGTAAAACTGGCATGGCAGAGGCCTCTGACCTCCTCTAACCTCACAAGGGGGAAGCAGAATCAAGATCAACAGCCCAAGACAGAGTCCTGTGAGGCAAAGGTCAGACATACCTCCTCCTGCCAGACCTTTGAACCTATTCTGACACCACCCGTTCCTCCCACGGCACTACCTCTCTGCTGGGTTTGATAATTCACAGACCATACTCACAATTATGGGGTTTATTCGGGAAGCAACAGGTTACAATGCATGTTCAGGAATACTCAGGATACAGTTCTTCGATCAGGACAGCCTTTTCTCAGCTGTGCCTCCAGGCAGGTCTTTATGGCCCTTGGCCCAGCCTCTGCCCTGCTCAGGCGAAAGTTACAAAGCTCTTTTAGCTCCACCGATAAGTACCCAAAGGTACCCCACTCCACCAGCAAGCCTCAGCCTGAAGACGCTCAGCTCTAGCTCTGTGGATTAGCAAACCTCGCTCCACAAAGTGCCCAGAGGCACCCCACTTGGCTAGCAAGCCTCCTGTGTGAAGGTGTTCAGCTTTCTTGCTCTGTGGGCTGGGAAGCCCCCCATGCCATCTCCTGCCATTCTCCTGGTTCTGCTGCAGCCGTTTCTCGCTGTCTTTGGTGCTACAGCTCTCTCTCTTGGTCTCCTGGTTCCAGTCAGTGCAAGGATTCTGGGACCAAATGATGCGCTCCACCCCTGGCTCTTCCTTCTTGGTGGTGGTGAGATCCTCCCTTCCTGCCTCTGGGATGGCTCATTTTAAGCCTAGGGAGTTGGCAAAACTGAGCAATCCCTTCGTTAGGGTTCCGTATACCTTATTTGCATAGTCCCACTCAATCACTGTGTGTGAGTCACAAAGACTATGGCCAGAAGGGCCATATTAAGTAATTCATTGCACCCCAGGTATCAAGGTAATGTTACTGGTGGAGAGGGAAGAGTGCTGGCTCTACTTCCAACACCGCTACTTACTAGCTGTGATGTTGAACAAGCTATTGAACTCCTCTGGGCCTGACTTCATTTGTCGAATTCAGGACAGCAATATCCACCTTTAAGGATTATTGAGAAGAATGAACACATTGTATGTGAAAACCTTGCAGTGCTTGCAGCACTTACTAAACCGTAATTTCCATTTTTGGCCCTGTTCTGTCTTGCTTCTTTCATAATAATCTTTTTTGGCTTTGTGCGTCCCTCTTGTCAATCCTTGAGTGACCAGGGTTTCTCAACAGCGGCACAACTAACATTTTGGGCCAGATAGTTCTTTGTCACGGGGGACTGTCTATGCACTATAAGATGTTTAGCAGCATCCCTGACTTTTACCCACCAGAAGCCAGCAGTACCAGTTATGACAACCAAAAATATCTCCAGACATTGACCCCAGTTAAGAACCATTACTTTAGACTGAAAATCCTTACAGGCAGGACACTGGTGCTCAGTCCTCAAGAACTTTGAGGGAAATTAAGTAATACTACCTAATACTTTGAGAAGTAGGATGCTTAAGTATTTTTAGCAAGTGTGTACATATTATCTGCGTGTCAAATATACCAGCTGGGTCCATTCAAAATTAGTTATGTGTAATACTTTATGTGTTACAAAGAATGGGTAGAATATCAAAAGAAAATTTTTCTCATTTACAGGCTCTGGAAACGAGGTGGTTCTCAAGAAGAATACAGAAGATGATAGTGGTTTCAGGTAACATCACATTCAATTCAGTCTGACCTTTAGCTGTCAGGTCTGAAATGAGTAAGACAGAAAAGCTAACAACCTAAATATTTATAGAGTAGGACTTCAGAGACCCACCTGGTATGTACCACATCATTTCACAAACTTTCCAATTAAAAAAGTTCTTTTAAGTCTAACCTCAAATATTTCTATTGTAAAAAAAGTCTATTCCTCTTCCCTATCAGGAAATACAGCAATGAACTGTTTTCAACTTTGAATTTCACAAAGGATATGCAAATTGCAAGCTACTGTTTGACACTTGGTAAAACCTGCTGCCATGGAGTTGATTCCAACTCACAGTGATCCTATGGGACAGAGAACTGCCCCATAGGGTTTCCACAGAACAGCTGGTGGATTCAAACTGCTGACCTTTTGGTTAACAGCCAAGCTCTTAACCACTGTGCCACCAGGGCTCCTTGACACTTGGTAGACACCCTTAAAAACATTATGGGCATATGCCTATTTTGCAGCATGGGAATAGATGAAACACCTTTCATGAAGCATGACCTTTTTGGTGTCTTTCTTTATTGACAAATTAGTCTATCTAACGTTAACTAGGCAGTGTCTGGACCTTGTTGTTCCTTCTAGTAAATGTTCCATCTCCCCTTCCTAGCTCAATTCTTCAAACATACTTGCTACTTCCATTTCTTCATCAACTATCTCCTTCATTTCGTCAAACTGGATTTCTTCTCTATCACTCTATTAAAATTGCTGGTTGAAAGCTAAAAAGAAACCTGAGACAAATCCAGTGGCCTCTTCATTAGTGTCTTATGCTAGGTTCTCTAGAGAAGCAAAACCAGTGAACTGTATAAATATACAGAGATTTATATTATGGAAATGGCTCATGAGATTGTAGAGACTGGAACATCCCAAGTTCGTAGGTCAGGATAGAGGTGTCTCCTGATTCATGTAACTGCAGGGGCTGGCGAACCCAAGATTGGCAGGTCAGAGAGCAGGGCTCTTGCTCACAGGCTGCAAAGATCGATGAATCCCAAGATCGGCAGGCAAGACCGAAGATAAGCTGCTAGCTCAAGTTTGAGAAATGGAGGTCCAATGAACAGGAGCCAGCTGCAGGATCCAGGGCGAGCAAAAGCCCACGAGCCTTGCCAGAATGTCCACTTACATTTGATGCAGGCCACACATCCAAGGAAATTCCCTTTCAAGTGACTGACTACTCACAGCAGATCCCATCGTGGAGGTGCTCACATTACATCAAATCTCATCATAGAAGTGATCACAACATCATACAACTGCCAAACCACTGAGAATCATGGCCCAGCCAAGTTGACACACAACCTTAACCATCACAATTAGGCTCTTCTTTTTGGACTTTTCTGCTCCTTCTGTCAACAATTATCAATCTTCTCCTCTAAATTCTTCCTAGCTTTAGTTTAAGAATATGCTGGCCAGAGCCTTGGGGGTAAAAAATCACTTCTCTTGCACATCACTCATCCTATCCTGCTTCTAGCAGTACATAAAGGTGGGCTAAGTTCTAAAAGTTCTTTTTACTCTCTCTCGGATTCCATCCTTTTACAAACCTGTTCAAGACACACCCTTTTATAAAAACTTCTAAATGTTTCCGGTAACAGAATTTTCCTGTATCTGGTCATGTAAATGCTTAACTTGCATTTATTGGACCGTAAACACATCATCTAAGTGTCTCAGAAAAAGGGCTGTATTTTTGCTTTCTCCAGCATCCTTTCACAGTTCTTGGCCTTCAGTAAGCTCTCAGCTGATGCTGGAATCAGGTCGCCTTTCCAGACCTAAGATTACTGAAAAGCATAAACACCATCCAGCATTTGCCTCTGTCTCAGCTGTCCAAGGGCCTTTCCACCTTGGCCTCCACCTCTTACGGAGACTAGAAGCCTGGGCAGAAAAATTAGCCATCAGATTACAGCGTTTTCAGATAAGAAAATGGAAAGGGAGGCCCAGGGATTCTTTAATGAAGGTGGAGGCGGTTCGGGGAATACGGAAGAGAGAATTAACTTGCAGACCCTTACCGAAAACCCTGGGGCAGATTTTCCTTCTGCTCCTGATGACTAAGCAGGCCTTTCCTTTCATCCTCTCCTCCCTCGTAAAGGCACTCACAAGGGGCAGGAGGTCAAGACAACAGCACCAGGGTCTGTACAGGGTTTTAAAGCACCCTCCGGGTACCAGCATCTCCAACGTTTCAGAACCGCGCGAAGGAAAGGGAGAGCGGGGCGCATGGGGGCTGGCAGAGGGCAATCGCCGCCATTCTTCTCCTCAACCTCGGGACCTGGGACTCACCTTCCCGGAAAGCGCGAACTGGAGGCCGAGCCCTGGTCTCCGGCGAGACTGCCAGGAGCCCCCGGAGCAACCGCCCACAGCCGGACACCAGCGCCTTGAAGGCCGCCATCTTGAAAACCAAAGCTGACCTCTTGGCCCATGCACTTCCGTTTCCGGAGCGACGTGCGCGCAGCCGCAGTGGTGAGGCAAGCACTGTGGCTTGCCGGGAGGTTTCGAGCTGTTGCTCCTGTGGCTTCCATTTCCTTCACTTCTTCGGCTTTGAGCTTAAGGGAAGAGGCCTCTGAGTCAAACCTGCGTTTAGTCCCGAGGGTTTAAGAGAAATCTTTTGGGCTTCATTCTGAGAGTCTCGGGGAGATCTTCTAGCTCCTGTCTACCAGTCCCTGCAGTGGCTTTCTTTCTCTGGAAAGCTTCGTCGGTTAAATCACACGCACTGCCCTAGTCTCTTCAAAGCTTTCTCTTCTGTGCAAGTCAGATGTGGATTTTCAGCTTCTTGCGGCTGGGTATAGGCCTGTACTGGAGAGGCTAAAATGGTTTGGAGCTTTAGCTCTAGAGTATCAGGCCAAGGCAGGATAAAATAATTACCTCCACTCTCTCCTCTCTCCCTCCCCCGCCCCCCCCCCCCAACTACATAGCTCTTTGATTCTCATATACTCAGCACTTCAGTCTGGTCCCAGGACCTTTACACCAGTTCATTTCCATACTTGCTCTTTATTCACCTGGTTAACTTGTACTTCTTCAGATCACAGTTCAAACTTCACTCCCACAGGGAAATCTTCCTTGATGTTCTTTTTACTGGTTCTCATACACCTTTACATCTTAGTATGTAAGGTACATTGCAGTTTTACGTTTGTTTCTGTAATATGTGTCTCTTCCACCAGACTATAAGCTCCATGAAGGCAAGGACTTTGTTTTTTATTTAGTGTTGTCTCTCCAGCACTTAGCGCAGTGCCTGGCACATAGTAAGAGTGCAATATATAGTTGTTGAATGAATGAGTAGTACCTATTTTATATGGTTGTTGTGAAGATTGACATAAATGCTCAATAAACGTAAGCTAATTAATAGGGCAATTAATGCGATGGACCTTGTGCTAGATACCTTTCACAAGTTTAACGTACTTGCCTTATAAGGAAGATTATGGCACCAAAAAGAAGACAACACAACTGGCTAGCAGTTTTCCCTCTTTTGGATTTGCAGGACATATAGGTTTTCCCTCCGAGCTACATAAGAAAATAAAACCTTTCACAGCTCACTTCTTTAATTTTGTGATTAGGGTATTCTTTTCCACCCTCCATAGTAAACCTGTAAGAGGATTTTTCTAGTTATCCTACTCTGATTCATAGATGGGAAAATCAGGCTCATTAAATGGCACAGCATATTCCCTGATGAAGGGGAGAGAAGGAGCCCATCTTCCAGTTGGGACTCTAACCTTGTGGGTTAGCCTCCAGAAATGGAGAATGCAGAGCAGCTGCCGCATGGTGGGCTTGAGTGACATCACCATAGACAGATAGAGCAGGAGAAATTGCATTCAGTAAAGGCAGATCTGGGGAAGGGGGAACTTGAAAGAAAGGCCAATCTAGGTCCGTGAGACTGATGCATGGATTAGGAGTGGAGCAGAGGATCTTGGTGGGGTGTGAGTCTAGGCTTCCCAGGCAGGATCAGGAAAGCCTTGGCTCTCCCTTTAGCTTTTGCTTTCCCTCTGTACAGATGACCTTGAGCTCTTCCTGCTCATATCACACCCCCCATTTCTCTAACCCTCCCCAGCTTCTGGGGATCTAGTAGAAACCATGGCACAGAGCCCCACCCAGGGCTTGTTTTGGACATAGCGAGCGAAAGTATTTGAGTGCCAACCTTCTCCTCATTATCTTATCCTAACTTATCATAACCAAATTTTATTTTAACAAACAACTTCTAGTTTCTGCAATGACAAGTAGCACGTGCTTATCACAGAAAAATGGAACAATACATAAAGTAAAAAATAAACATTACCCACAATCTAGAGATAACCACTATTTACATTTAGCAAAATGAAATAATGCTGTACATAATCTTTGTAATGTCTTATTTTTCTGAATCCATTTATTATTAGTCCCTACATCAGCAACAGTTCTGTGAGACCAGATTTTGCTCAGAATGAAGACTACCCTTTTTTTTTTTTAGTATAAAAAACTTTTTTGTTAAAGTATAACCTGTATAAGTAAAGTGCACAAATCATCAGTGTACAACTTGATGAATTTTTACAAAGGGAAAGTACATGTGAGATGACTATTCACATCAACAAATAGAATATTACCAGCACTCCAGAACACACCCTTAGGCCCCCTTCCAGACACTAACCCTCAAGGGTAATAATTATCCTGGCTTTTAGCACCGTGAATTACTTTTACCTGCCTTGGAACTTTATATACATAGAATCTTACAGCACGTACTCTTTAGTGTCTGATTTCATCTGCTCAATATCATGTTTGTGAGAGTCACCCATATTGTTATAGACAGTTGTGATTCATTCATTCATTCTCATTGCTATATAATATTCCACTGTGAATATACTACAATTTAGTTATCTTTTTTCGTTGATAGGATTTGGATACTTTCCAGCTGGGACTATTACAAATCATACTGTGATGAACATTCTTCTACATGACCTTTAGTGAATAGGAGAACAAACTTCTTTCGAGTATAAACCTAGGAGTGGAACTGTTGGGTCATGTTGTTGTTGTTGTTGTGTGCTGTCAAGTCGATTCTGACTCATAGCGACGCTATATGACAGAGTAGAAATGCTCCATAGGGTTTCCTAGCCTGTAATCTTTATGGGAGATGAGTGCCAGGTCTTTTCTTCTGCAGAGTGCCTGGTGGGTTTGAACCGCTCACCTTTCAATTAGCAGCTGAGTGCTTAACTGTTGTGCCACCAGGGCTCCTTGTTGGGTCATAGGGTATACATACATTCAGCTTTAGTAATATTGCCAAACAGGTTTCCCAAGTGATTGTACCAGTTCAGTACCAGCTGTGTATGAGAGTTCCAGTTGCTCCATATCCTTATCAGTGTTTGATATTTTTCATCTTGGTGAGTATGTAGTGGGATCTCATTATATGTTTAATTTGCATTTCTCTGATGCCTAATGTAGACAAGTAAATTTTCATATGTTTATAGGCCATTTAGATATCTGTATTTGGTAAAATGTTTAAGTCTTTGGCCCATTTTTACATTGGGTTGGATGTCTTTTTCTTACTGATTTGTAGAAGTTCTTTATATATTTTGGGTACTTGTCCTTTGGTGGATATATGTACTGCAAATGTCATCTCACTCTCTGTGGGTTGCCTTTTCATTCTTCTGTAGAATAATTTTTGATGAACAGTATTTTTTATATTTAATATAGTGTGATTCATCACATTCTCCCTTATGGTTGGCCCTTTTTGTTCCCCGTTTAAACCTTTTTTTCTTTTTCGAGTTCATAAAGATGTTCTATGTTTTCTTCCAAAAGTTTTATTGTTTTACCTTTTACATTTAGATGTACAATTCGTCTGGAATCATTTTGGTATGTGGTTTGAGACAGGAATTGATTCATTTTCCCCCCATAGGGATATCTAATTGACTCAGCATCATCAATTAAAAATATCATACTTCTCCCTACTGCCTTTATCTGGTGTGGGTCTGTTTCAGGAATCTATATTTGGCTCCATTGGTCTCTTTTTCTGTCCTTTAGCACCATTTTTAATGACTGAGTACTATTTCATTGCCTGGAATGTGCCACAACTTACTTAACGAATTCCCAGTTGCTAGACTTCCAATTCAAACATTTGTTCTAAGACCTACCTATCTTCCTACTCCAAAAGTAGTATCCTCTATTCATCAAGGGATCTTATATACCCATCTCCCCAGTTGGGTATGTTGTGGATTTTTTTTTTTTAAGTACAACCGTGCTGTGGAATAAAAGAGGCTAAGGATCTTTGTTTGGGAGCTGCAGAAAGGTAGCTGCCACGCAAAGAAAAGACCTTTCAAAAATTATTAAAAAAATTTTTTTTTAGCTCAAGTAGATACATGAGTCTAAATGGGCAGCTCCTGTCCCAGAGGCGAGATGAGAAGACAGAAAGGGACGAGAGCTGGTTGAATGGACACAGGAAATCCGGGGTGGAAAGGAGGAGTGTGCTGTCACAGTATGCGGAGAGCAACTAGGGTCACATAACAGTGCGTGTATAAATTTTTGTATGAAGAATTAACTTGAACTGTAAACTTTCATTTAAAGCACAATTAAATTTTTTTTTCTTATTGTGGTGAGTTTACACACACACATACACACATACACACACATACACACACACATATAAACCAAAAAACCAAACCCGTTGCCATCAAGTTGATTCCAACTCATAGTGACCCTATAGGACAGAGTAGAACTATGTCCCATAAGGTTTCCAAGGAGTGGCTGGTGGATTCAAACTGCTGACCTTTTGGTTAGCAGCCAAGCTCTTAATCACTGCACACGCATGTATATACATATATATGAAACAAAAAAAATTCACTGTAACATTTTTTACATGTACAATTCAGTGACATTAATTCTTTTCATCATGTTATCTAACCGTTATCACTCTCCAAAAATTTCCACCACCCTTAGCAGAAGCTCAGGGCCCTCAAAGGAAGGGTCTTTTTAAGAGCCAGAGTTTCTGGGGCTATTGGTGGAGTCACTGTCATGCCTGGGAAGAATATTTCCAGCTGCAATAGCAATCATGGAAGCTGAAGAGCAGCATAGACCCTGTATGCACACATATGAGGGGAGGGAGGCTGAGGAACCATTCCTTATCCTGATGAAGTCTTTCCTCCACCCTTTCTTCTGAGGAGCCCAGCCCCCTTGCTTCTGTTCCATTTCTCTTCCTTCTTTCCTCCACCCCTAGTCCTGGAGCCTGTCTCTGAACTCTGGCAATAACGCAATTCCCAAGTAAATCTTCCCTGTGAAGATGTTCAGGGAAACGGTCACAAGAGCTAAACCCAGAAAAGTTCATTTTGCCAAGGAAAATGGAAACTCGCTGCAGAAACCATCCAGTCTAGCAACTTGCTGCCAGCAAACAGGACAGCAAGCAGGCTCAGACCAGAGCAAAGGCAAGAATCAATGAGAGCCATGGGTGGGTCAGCCT